CGGAACGGGCTGCCTTCCCGGGCCCCTGGGGGAACGGCAAACACACGTGTGAATTCTGTCGGAGCCCAGGCCCTGGGGCGCCCCCGAGCCCAGGACAGCCAGACCCGCTGTGGGAAACACTGACGTCCGGACGAGGGGCCAGTGATGGCGCCCAAGGCTGTGCCTTTAGCTCCACGCGGACACTGCAGTGTGAGCTGGGAGGCAGGGGCCACGCCTGTGGGAGCCCCACGCAGAAGGGGAGTCGGGCGCCTCTCTTGGCGGCTGCACCCCTGCCCTGCCCCGTCACGGTCCTGTGCCAAGTGCGGACGGGGTCCGAGAGATGGCACTACAGGGCGGGCAGGGCACAGCGCCTGGCACGATGAAAGCGCTGGCACCCCCGTCCTAACCGCTGTGCTCCAGGCACTGGCCACTCCCTGGCCGGGCTGGGGGCCTGTATCCTGTGAGCCCGTAAGCGCCCAGCAGCCCAAACCCACCCTGTCCTGTCCAGACTGGGCCTCGCGCCGTTCAACAGAAGAGGACAAAGTCAGCAACAGCCCTTTGCCCAGAGCCCAGGCCTGACTCTCGGCAGCTGTGACCTCACCAACACGGCCTCCGAGGGGGGGGCAGGGGCAGGGCGCTGCGCCCGCGGCGACAGGTGGACGGCACACACCGGAGTCCGCGCCGCGGGATGGCCGGTCTACAGCGACTGGACAGCAGACCGAACAGCTGCTGCCACTTAATTCTCCCTCTAATTTAATGAGCTGCTCACTAAGCCCTGGAAGCAGGTCCCAGGGACGGAGCTCCTGGCGCGCGGCCACGCGGCTGACAGGTGACGGGGAGGTGGGTTCCTCCCAAAGGCAGAGCCCACACCAGGCTGCGTCCACCAACACCCGTTTGCTCCAAAAAGTCACCATGATTCGCCTGCCCAACCCCACCTGCCGCGAAGTGCACAGCCTGTGGGACTCCCGTTCCTGCGAGAGCCCTGGCAACGCTCGGCCGGGCACCTCCTCCTCGCTCCCGCTCCGCCGCCGCGGCCCAGGGAACGTTTCCCAGACTCCAGACCTGCAGGAGGGCGCACACACTTCCAGAGCCTACGGCAACCGACCAAGGACATTTTGTTGAAATCCCATATTTGTTCTTAAAATTCCAAGTAAATCTTATCTTACGTGCCCAGTAAAGGGCTTTATGTGTTCACCGTCCGGAGCTAACGAAGAGCTTCCTATCCAGCTTCCCTGAAAGCCGGGGCGGAAGCAGGACACCCCCCTCTGTCTCGCTCCAGCGGGCCCACCCCCGGGGCAGGTCTCAGCTTGGAAGCAGCAGATCTGGAGACAGGAGGTGGCACCCCCACAGTCCCCCATCATTTCAACCTTGGCCTAACCAAGGTCAACCACCCAACTCAGAACAGCTTCCCTCAGAGGGGGAGAGGGTCCTGGCCCCCTGCACCCAGCGCTCACCCGGATCCGGCGCATGGCAGCCACGATCTCCACTCTGCTGTTGGGCCGCGGCACGTCCAGGCTCCCGACGTACTGTGGGGAGAAGAGGGATGTGAGAACGCATGTGAGTGTCCCCAGTACAGCCTGCGAGCGGCGGGCGGGCCTGGGGAGGCGACCCAGCTCATCTCCCCATTTCACAAGAGTCAGGGACACCTCGTCCAGCTGTGTGTATAAAAGGCCAATGAACAACTTCCTGCTTCCTGTTCACCTGCTCGTCACCGGAGATGCAGCGAGTGTGGGTGTGACTGTGCAGCTCCGGCCAGCTGGCCTTTCTGCGCGCCGACTCCTCACGGGGAGCCGGGACCCCGTCAAGCACGGCAGTGTCTCCCTCACAGACCTGCCTGCACACATTAAAGCCTCAACAACAACAAGAAGGAAGGAAGGGGCGTGTTTTCTTAGTGAATGGCTGATCCCTGAGCGAGCCCCAGGGGACTCAGGGAACACACACACTTGAGGGAAGTAACTGGAGGGAGGAATGGACTAATATTTTATTAAGATGTTTACCTGATTGTAAGGCTGGTGTTTAATATCGGAACAACTCCTCACTGTGCACTATTCAAACAACCCAAGAATGTGTGGAGGAAAAGAACAGAGGCCCCGGGCCCAGCCTGACGCACAGCTCTGTGCGGACGGACAGACGGACACATGCAGGTGCGCGAGGTTTGCTGCGGGAAAGGCCCACGCAGCTGGGCTGCACGCCTTGCACAGCCGGGCACCCAGCGACCCTGGGCCGTGCCTCCCATACAGTCCTCTGAACTTGGCCCGAGTAACTGCGGGCCATCCAAGCCAGGAGGCGTTTCCTGTGGTTACCAGAACACGGTTCTCCCTGGAATGGGGAGCCGAGGCTGGCCCAGCGAGCAGGGTTTCAGATCCTAAACGGCACAGGATTTCCCGGGCACTGCCCACAGCTGTGCTAGCACACGGGAGTGCGGGCTGAGCGGCCCGTGGGGAGCGGTGAGCACACTGGGTCTGGGGGGCGTGAGCCGCTGGCGACCGCTCAGTTACACGAAGCCCCCAGGTCTCAGTGCCGCAGATCGAACTGTGGTGGGCACTGCCCCGCTGAGCTCCGCCAGGGCCCCACAGTGTGTCACACGTCAGCGGCTGCACAGCCAGGAAGGACAAGGCCGGGCTCATGACTGCACGCCCTCAAAGGCCCTCCTGCCCGGCACCTGCATACTCCTGGGTGCTCACCTGACAGTCCTCCCTGAACCTGGAGCAGTCAGGACGAGCTGGGCAACAGGCCTTCAACTCCTGTTCCCTCACCCATCACGTGAGTGCCAGGACCTCGGGACCCAGCAAGGTCACGTTACACGTGGCGCCCAGGGAAGGTGCTCCCTCCCGGCAGGAACATGGCCAAACACATGTGTGATCATCCCTGGCTGGCCTTGCTGCACAGGTCCAAGCACACACCTAACTGGAATCCTCCCAGAATGAGCACCTGTCCACCCACCGTGGCTAGGAGAACCCGCCTGTGAAGGACAGGAGGCAGCCTGGGTGCTGCCAGGGGTCCAGCACCAGTCATCGCCCACCTGCATAGTCAGCCCTCACCTACACAGTCAGCCCCCCCCTATACAGTCAGCCCCCACCTATACAGTCATCGCCCACCTGCACAGTCAGCCCTCACCTGCACATCAGCTCCCACCTGTACAGTCAGCCCCCACCTATACAGTCATCGCCCACCTGCACAGTCAGCCCTCACCTGCACATCAGCTCCCACCTGTACAGTCAGCCCCCACCTATACAGTCATCGCCCACCTGCACAGTCAGCCCTCACCTGCACATCAGCTCCCACCTGTACAGTCAGCCCCCACCTATACAGTCATCGCCCACCTGCACAGTCAGCCCTCACCTGCACATCAGCTCCCACCTGTACAGTCAGCCCCCACCTATACAGTCATCGCCCACCTGCACAGTCAGCCCTCACCTACACAGTCAGCCCTCACCTACACAGCCAGCCCCCACCTGCACAGTCAGCCCCCACCTATACAGTCAGCCCCCACCTATACAG